TAGTTTGACTCTTGGTTACGTCGTCAATTTTTGATTCCGAATCTTTATTGAGATACTCTGAAATAAATAATATGATATTAAAATAATAAGTTAATGAATTTGAATAAAATATAGAAAATAATTTTAACATTATTCAAGTTATATATACCCTTTTCTGTGACTTTATAAAACTTTGTTGGAATCACAATTTTTGGCTTATCAGATTACCACCTAAAAAGTAATTTGTCATCGTATTGATAATAGTAGACTTTCCGGTTCCAGTTCCACCTAACAATAGAATTTTAAAGACACCTGGCTCTCGATTAAGCAAATTTATTTTACTTCTGTTGGATTTTTGAGTAAAGTTAGTATTATGTGTATCATAGTCGGTTTGAACATTATTTTTCTGGTTTGGATTTTGAGATGCCTCCGTAAATTTCATGAATTGGGAAAACATTTCTTGATAATTAGGAGTTGTCTGTTGTTGTTGGTATTGTGGAAATTGCTGTGGAAACTGATGCGGAAATTTCTGTGGAAATTGCTGCGGGTATTGTTGTTGCACAGATGGATATTATTGAAAATAACTATTATCGTTATTATTGTTATTAAATGCAGGAATGAATGGACGTGCAGGCTTTTGAGAAGAATAGTAAGGAGGCGGAGAATCATCATTATCAAAATCATTAAAATTGCTTTGAAAAATATTTTTGATGTGAGGCTCTTTATCACCAATTTTTTTGTCAGTAGATTTGTTTGAAAATCTTTCAGGGATTTCTTCATTATCTTCAAATAAAATACTATTCATACGAGATGTCAAATCTAAAATCGCATTGATAATTCGAATTTAGAAAGTATCAATTTATTCATTTTGTAAATTATTTTATTTAACTCACTTTCATATTCTTTGTTAATGTTAGGTCTTTCCTTATTATACATTTCTTGTAATTGCATAGCAAGAATATAATCATTCTCTGTTCTATTTCTTTCCTCATTATTCATTAGTTGCAATTGCATGGCAGCATAATCATCATCGATTTCGCTTTCCACAGGTTTTGTAGTACTAGTATCTAAAAGTTATGCAAAAAAAAAAAATAAATAAATTCAAAAACTTTAAATTCATACATAATATTCATACATAATATTCATATGGAAAGAATGAGAGGACACATATGTAAAATTTTTGTTAAAAATAAATACCTTTATTATTTGTCAGAGGCGATCCTAAATTTTATAATACGTATTTTAATGCAAGAATCACATAATAAGATAAAAAAATTATAAAATTAAAATACAATTAACTTATTTCTTGAGTCACCTCATTGTAATCGTCATAAAGTTTCTGTTGTAGCCTCATAGCAAAGGTGTAATCGTCGATATTATTTTCGTTGTTTTGCATATTATTTAATGTTTGAGTGAAATAATAAAATATATTATCTATCCCGATTATTGTTTATAGTGCTAGCGGGACTGAAAATATGGCGTAAACGATTTGGCACTGTGTATAAAAGCTTTGGAGCAAAAGAGTACTGATTTTTATTGAAATGTCGGTGCGAAATCAATATGTACGAATGTTTACATATGTACTGACAATTCAAGAAAAATTCTATTCTATTTATAAAAAATTGAAAAGAAACAAAAAGAAACGAAAAGAAAAAAAAAAATCCAAGTTCTTCGATTTCGACATATCGCACCATCACTAAAAATCTCATTGCGATTGAAATCGCTTTCTCTTTTTAGTTAACAATACAACACTAATCCCCACACAGGTTTTTGCCTTATCCGTTGTGTCATCATGAGAAAATTTGACAGTTTGACACGGCCACATGTTTTACCCGATCTGTCTTATCAATAATTGTTTAACCCCAACAACACAATTCATCGTATTGCCTTTTCCCTTTACGATATAGTATTATCAGTGTCTTATCGAGCTTGACAAAGGGGTTTGTCCTTTCGACTATCTCTCTTACAACTTCTCTTTATTCACAGTGGTCTTGGGCAATCTCTTAGGCCGTTCAAAGTTGATTAGTTGGTTAACGTCACCCCCTCTTGGTTAACTGATCCCCCCGAAATTAAACAAGCCAACACAAAGACTTCATGAATCATGTGATCAAAGTTGACCAATGTAATTTTTCTTGGCATATATGTGTTTGTTTAAATCTTTCCCTCCCCTCCTCGCGCCTGAACCCAAAATATTTACGTTAACCAACTAATTAACTT